AGTATAGCAATTAATTTTTTAGATATAATAGCTGGAATTAAATATGACTTTGAAACTTGGCTTGATTGACATCAACCCCACCTCACCTTTTATCTAGTATGTAAAATGCAGATATGTTTTTCATTGGATGACAATTATACGAACCCAAAAATGGTGGACCAAAAGCTCATGGCTTAATTTTAGCTGTATTGTATTTACATTTTACTTAATTTGTACTTTCTCGAGAAGGTGTATACTAGATACAAATTATTGTCACATTAACCTATTCTGTATTTTTGGGCTGCTCGCCCAATTTCGTCAATATGGCAGAACTATATGCAATTGTCATTTAATTAGGCCGAACAGCTGGCTGTAAAACCACGTTTGATCTACGATTTTCTTCGAAAAATTCCTGTACAAAGTCAGGAATATGACAGTTGTTTTCAATTAGTTCCAATGTTTGACAAAGTCTTACGTTTGATTTTGTTATCTTTTATGGACTTCCCTTTTTTTTTTATTCACCTGAGAGTTCGGTATTTTTGTTAATACTTGTTTTTCCATAGATAGTAAATATTGACATTCTCACCAAGGAACTACATGTATGTCCGTCCGATTGTCCCTATGATGTTAGAGCAACAACACATGAAACCAGGATTATTCGTCGAAAGGCTTTTAAAGAGTCAGGAGTAGATTCTAAAGTGGCCTATATTGTTGTGTTATTCAATTTTCATATATAATTAATATGGATGTGGTGCATCAAATTTATATCGGTATCTTATGATTTTGTAACACTTCCACTGTTTTGATGCCAATGTTGTAGAATTGATGGTGCATGCAGATGGATGTGTTGATGGGTTACGTTTTATACCAGTGGCAAATATTAGATGCAAATCAGGACGATATCAGGTTTACATAATTTGAAGATGAATTATGTTTTGAATAGACCGATGCACGATGAGCCGGTTGAAAAAAACACTTTAGTTTTCAAAGTAACAGTCTACAGAAAGACGTGTCACCCTACTTAGATGCACTATTTTATCTTCGAGCACTTCTTTCATTGTTTTTATTTCTAAATGCAGTAATCTAAGCGGAGAAGCAGTAACTATCATTTTCTAGTCTTTGTTTAAACTTTTGAACTGTCTAGGATTCGAACCCTCGACCTCCCGCACTCCAGCTTAGCACGCTACAGTACTTGCAACTTTAGGCGTAACTGTTTGACGTGAACTTGACTGATTGGTGAATGATCGGTGACGGATGTTTGACTGATCGATGACTGATCGGTGATCGATGACATATAAAATCCGTCAGATACGTCAAATAAGCTATGTGAGAGTTACCGTGACAACGATCAACGATCGATCAGTAAAGTATGTATATGCACAGACCAAACATAGACCAAACATATTGTAGGTCACAAGTATATCACAAGCCTAGTAGCAAGTAGCAAGTGCCATTTCTTGAACTGATATAGGAACTGTTGATACCGATTTTGATGTTCTGCTGCAGATGTTAATGTGGTTTTATTTTGTAGTCTTAAATTCTGATATTTTCAAAATATAGTATGGAGCATCACTGGCTTTCAAAAATTGAATACGGGGATAGCTCCAATAATACAAGTTCTACGGTAGAAAAACCTCTAACAAAAGCATAAATTTCTCTGAATTTTGTGATCAACTCATTAGCAGACGAATTGTCTGTTGATCTTAATTGTATTAGATCACCGTCTTTTACAGTCAAATTACATGTACCCAGCCATAAATACAGTACAATACGAGGATGACAATGTAACTCAACTTCAAGGTTCTCTTGCAAAAATCTAAATTGTTTTTCTACTGTAGCACCTCCTTCAAACCACCAGACAATATCCCTTTCAATGCCTCGGATAACCTCGTCACGGAGATATCTGGCCTTACTGTCAGATAAAACAATGGGGGTTTTATGCAATCTAATACCAGTGTCCAAGGCGTTTGTATTATAATCAATCTGACTCCCTTATCTGCTAAGAGTCATACCAACAGGCAAATATATTATTTAGTGACGATGTCAAAATGGCAACCTTAAATTTTTTTCAGAACCACGTGTGAAAAAAAATTGTACAGATCACAGCCCTGTTAATGTCTCAAATTTTCATTACTTTAAGGGACCTCCACCATTCTGTATCCTTTGGGGAATTTTGTATGTTAAGGATACATATAATAACGAATAAGATAGTTTTGTTCTAATATTTTGCACTGAATAAAAATAAGGTCTGCTACCCGCATTGACAAGAAATGAGAGAAAGAGCGTTAATATCATGCCGGATACGGAATAACCCTTTCCGATTTGGAATGATACAGATACCAGACTGTGAACTAGCAACCCTTATTTATAACGAAAATTATGTATACAACAGTATAAGTGGTTTTTTTTATTTATCTGAGCAGCATCGTCTAGTCTAGACGATCCGGTACATGTTAAACTTGCTGGTTGGTCCTTTTTATAGACTTCTATATAATAATTCATATATACACGTCTAAAAGTGTGACTTTATGGCAGACATTCTCCATCGGATAACACGTGGTTATACAGGACTAACACTATAATATATATATTTATATAATTCGTCTCAAATTTATCCCAACGATGTTAGATCTTCATATATACATGTATATATATACAACACGTCTAAACATTAGCCCAACAATGTTAGATCTGTAAGTTTGCTTTCGCAAATTTTTAGTTCTTCCCTCGCCGGGATTCGAACTCATGCTACTGAGATATCGTGACACCAAATCGCCTGCACTGTATACGACGCGCTAGACCACTCGACCACCTAGGCTTCACAATACTAAAGCTTTCGGTGGCCGGGTGTTACCTTTCCTCGTCAGTTTTAATCTAGCGTCGTAATACAGTACATGATATATAAGGCATGAAGATGGAATTGTTACAGATCAGCTGAAATATCTATTGTAAAGGATCCTACAAATTAATGCAAGATACAGTCACAGAAATAATTATATTTATAAGTACGTCTGAACCAGTGACAACTCTACAACAGATTTATCCATCGGATCACCAGCAGTGATGGTGATACATGGCTATGTACATTCTGTATATACAACTCGTCTAAACATCAGCCCAACAATGTTAGATCTGTAAATTTGCTTTTGCAAATTTTTAGTTCTTCCCTCGCCGGGATTCGAACTCATGCTACTGAGATATCGTGACACCGAATCGCTGCACTGTATCCGACGCACTAGACCACTCGACCACCTAGGCTTCACAATAATAAAGCTTTCGGTGGCCGGGTGTTACCTTTCCTCGTGTTACAAACAATGCGGCAGAAGCAATTGTAAGTGCTGTAAAGTCGCCAACACTGACCACTCTTTCACCAGCACAGTATCAAAGCAGCGATACAACATCTATGTTACATCTAATTGTAAAAGGGAAAATAGTATTTATATTCTTACTTGTGGAACTTGCAAGCTGCAATATGTTGGCGAAACAGAAACTAAATTCAACATCAGACTTATTAATCACCGGTCTTTTTATACCAAAGGAAGAAAATGTCCAATCACGAGACATCTCTTAAGAACAGGACATACTTTTGAAAATATCACCTTTCAATTAATAGAGGTAAACCAAAATTGGGACATCCAAAGTAGAAAACAGAGAGAGAGATTCTGGATGCATCAGCTACGTACTCTTGAACCGGATGGACTGAATGAGAGAGATGAAATACAGTTTTACCCAAAACCAAAGGAATAAATCCTGAACTTCATACTATTTAACTAAAACAATTATTTGCTTTGATTTAAGAATCGCAATGTACAATAAGCGGCAAAAATATTTTAAAGACATGCACATTAAGCTGAAAAAATTTCTTTTCAGCCTCCGATGTTTTACCTAGTTGGCTGCACGCGCCTGATGAAGCTAATTTGTTTAGCGAAATATTGCGTGAATATATAAAATATAACAACTATTTTTATAACACTCATTAGTGTGTTAAAGTTACATTCTTAGGCACTTATATATATATATATATATATATATATATATGTGAAGCCTAGCAGGTCGAGTGGTCTAGCGCGTCGGATACAGTGCAGGCGATTTGGTGTCACGATATCTCAGTAGCATGAGTTCGAATCCTGGCGAGGGAAGAACAAAAAATTTGCGAAAGCAAATTTACAGATCGTACATTGTTGGGCTGATGTTTAGACGAGTTGTATATATAGACCACAACGAGGGTTGGTCAAGGGCCGAAAGACTTGCTCGGGAAAGGTTTTGGATAAGAAAGCTAAGGACAGTTTCCCCAGAGGTCATAAATGAAAAAACATAGAATGAGTCACTCATTTTTCCTACCATCACTCATTTTCCTGACATCATTTGTTTCCAGGTACTCCGGCTTCCTTACTTGACTCTTACAGTTTTAAGGATTCTTTTGGAATTTTTTGAATTTTACTAGTTTAAATATCAGGGTTCTTTTCATTTGGTAGGGGTGTACAAGTACGCATCCACGTCCAATTATTTAACCTTAGCCCAAATTTACTATTATTTTTTCTTTTCATTATAAAACTGCTATTTATTTGGGATGATGAATACGGAGCCTCTGTTTGACATATTTTACCAGCTTATATCGATCAGTGCTGTTTTTTTGGGAATGTATTTACACGCAGTTTTTGTAACATCTTAACTGACGTCGTTTTGGAATTTTAGAGTTGTGCCAGTTCATATCTCTAATTTCTATTTTCATTTTAGGCATGTCTTTGAGTCGTTTTTTGGAAATTTTAAAAATTTATTAGCGTCTCTACATATGATGTTCGGGTGAAACTGTTTCACTTTTTTATTGTATAGAATTCAAGATTGCTATAGTTTAATAATCAGAATAGATTGATCTGATTCATTTTACATCGTGCTCATACTGATGAAGGATATCTGTTTATAAATATTTATAGTTACATTTGTTCGTTTATTGTCATTTTTATGATCCATCGCCCCGTAAGATTTATCGTTGGCTATCATTCAGTCATTTTATATATATATATATATATATATATTTTATTCTGAAAAAAAAAACAACCTTTGTTGATACAATGGTATACAGAAACACAGATGCGTACATAATAATACATAATAATATTTAGTTTTTTAACCAAATATCTTTAGGGGTTCCCCTTACAAAAGCATAGATTTGCTAATCGCTTTATTGTTATTTTTCGGGGAGGGGGGAGGGGGGGAAGGGAAGCGGAGGGTAAGGGGAGGGGTATCAACCATTTTGTTTACGCAACTCCTCTTAAACCCCTTATTACAATTGTTTCAAACTTCCTCACAAACTTAATTGTTTAATTCCATTGTTCACCTCCTATTTTATTTTATCAGAGCCATTTTCGTGGATTTTCCCAAACATTTGTGTACACTACAGTACATATGTATATCTCGTCCTCCTCCCAAAGGACAAATCAGTATTTGATGAAATTTACTCAGAATTTTCCCCTTATGTTGGTAAATTGTCCCTCCTATTTTGATTAAATAGTTTTGGGTTTCGCATTTCAAAGCATAGACTTAATAAGGGGCGAGGTGTCATTGTGACTTTTGCTCATGAACCTCTAGTTTTAGAAGAGAGGCGAAAGATACCAAAGAGACATTCAAATTCATAAGTCGAAAATCAAAATGACAACGTCAAGACAAAAAATAGAAAACGACCAAAAGACAAGCAACAGTCAAATAACACAACAAAATACATCTGTGGAGTACCCGTTTTGTACCCGCAACTCCTCCGTAAATCCATATTACAGTTTATTGAAACTTTTTTCACACTTTTAACCATATATTTTTATTGTGCACTTCTTTTTTTTTTAACAGAATCACCTTGGGAATTGTTACTACAAAAGCATGGACTTATCGCTTTATTTCATTTTTTTACGGGATAGGGGCATCACCATTTTGTTTTCGCAAAGGGTACGTATCGGTACCCCACAGATTTATTTTGGAATACAACCAAGGGGACGACAATTTGATTTGGGGAGGGGGGGACTTTGAAAATGAATATCCTGGCCTGGTTAGAGCTGAAAATATAAATAACTTTGCCTAGGACAGAATGGAAATGAATATTCTGCAACACAAAATTCAGAAATTAATTGTGTACAAAAGCTTAAATAAGTTATCCTGCGACAAAGCTGTTGCAAAAAATCAGCATACGTTGCAACAGATGTTAATAAAAAAAATCCGAGAAAAATCCATCTGGACCCCATAATATCAAATAGTCGTCTACTTAATTCATATTTTTACTTTAAAAGTAAAAATAATATGCATAAGAGTTTCACAAAGTATTTAATATTTCATTTTATATTTTGATTTTTATTCATATTCTCATACCGAGTTTAATGACTTATATGTGGCAAAATTTTGTCCCAAATTATCAAATATTTCATATGAATAACTTCAGAAGCTGCTTTTAGAAAAACATATCCCGTTTGGTCTCTGTTCGGTAGTTGTCTCACTAGCAATCATACTACATTCCCTTATTTTCATATGAAAAAAGTTCTATCGAAAAAGATTTAAAGAAAAATAATTGTCGGGAAAAAGAAATATAAAACAAAATGCTATCTTCATCGTTATGACGTCTATTACTATAATAGAGTGCTCTGTTCTCTTAAGTAATGAAAGTTTTACATTGAATCTAAATGGTATCTATATAAACTATTAAAATATTTTGCATGGATGATGTAAATTTAAAGTTCATGTTACGTTTCAATCAGTCTGTGAGACTCTGATAGGAATGAATATGTTCAATGGAAAACACTCATAAGCTCAGTCATTGAAGTATTTGAAATATTGTAGCTGTATCGGGTCGTAAATTCATTTTCGTCTTTCATTTCCTTCATATAGAATATCATAGTTGTACGCACATCGCCTTGTTCAATCATGGTCTTTGGTGGTGTCTTTTTCCTTTCTATATACTTTTTTTTAGTTGTTCTTGTGCTTCCTGTGGCTTTAGAACCGCATTGCATACGCAATCATGTTTGACAATCATGAGCGTTCCTTCACATTTGCGACACTTTCACGTTGCTCTTTACCACTTCTTCATGACACGGTGTGAAAGATGTAGGATGGAATAGCATATAAGATGACAACCAATGTATATAATTCTGTTTGATGGCATTGTCTGGTGCTTAAAGCCCTGTGCAAGAACTTTGTCTGCGCAGCAAGTAAGTGAACACAGTGGCATGTTAATCACCCATGCTTAATTTTTCATAACCACGTAACTTCCATGGATGTATAAAAGGCCCTTTTATCAATAGCATTATTATTGGTTATCACTTCTACTTTCTCTCCATTCTTTACTTGAATAGTTGTATCTATTCTTAAAGGTATTATAAAATTAGGAGATAAATACATAGCAGTAATTGATTTTTCCTCTCCCCCAACAACCAGTTTTAACATGATCTTGATGTAACTGTTCTTCACGCGTCTCGTATTAAGAGAGACAACAATGTTAAATCTTGCATAGCCATCTTTCATTATAGTTACGGTTCTCTTTTGAATATCATATTTGAAGAAGTTACCGTATTTAGATTGAAAATTATTTGGAGGATGAAACATGATTTTGTACGATTTAAAATGTGCGTTATTCGTGTCATTCTTATACGGAGAAAGTAACCTGGTAGGGTCTACTATGAACTTTTGCAGTCCATTTATAGAATTGTGTCCTACTGACTGTACCTTGTTTGATTCCGTTGGACGAATTACTGCGGCCAAGGCAGCACAACAAAACGACAAAGCAATCAGCATCATGATACAGTACATCCTTAAAATACAAACAAACTAGCTTTAAAAAATGTAAACATCGGGTTGCAAACACAATTCTCATCAATAATTTATGTATTTATTGAGATTGAAAAAATATAATTGCGTTTACTAAACATTTAGCAAATGCCAAGTCTGCAATTTTGTGGGAAATCAGAAAATTAAAACAAAACTATCTCACAAGAAAGAGCATTAAGAATATTCCTTACCAGAACCAAAATTATATCCGATGCGAAACCTATTTATCATGGTCAAACATGATATTCTTCCGATAATATTACAGAAAACATGTAACATAATGTGTGTGTGTTTAGAAGAAAATAAAATAATGTATAACAGCTTTTAAAACAAACCCGGGGGTGAACTCGTGTGTTCTGGAAGATAAGCAGATCCTGCTTCAGGGTGACAACCGTCGTGTTACTCACCGCAGACATTAGTACTTTGAAAAGTCGGAACCTATAAAAGCACTTTCGAGGATTGTCGTTTCGACAGTTGAAACATGGTGATCAGTAACACAGATGTTCCACAACGGTCAACCAAATCATGTTCTCGTTAATATACGTAAGTGACAAATATGTACAAGTTGATAATTACCGATAATTCATACAGTATGAAGTCGCAGTGGTAATTGGGCAAGATATATACAAAAGAAGTGCATTTTAAAAACTTACCTGTTGTTTATATCTTTAAATATCACCCATTTTGTGCACTTTAATATTGAACTCTGCTGGAAATTTAAGATTATTTATAAATAGTTCGGATATAAATAGGTAAAATCTTAATACCTTAATGCAAGCTATTTCACTAAGCGTAGCAGTGAAAACTGTAATAATTACATTTATATATTGTTTTTTCTCTAACTTTTGTCCCGTATAACAACATTGTAACTCGATTGCTGTTACTTCATGAAAATAAAATAATATGACATTCTTTGCAATCTGCAGAATTAAATTAACATAACCATGATAACTTAACACTGTAACAAATTGATATTACCTTCTTGAGCAATCAGCAGAATTATACACTCGAGTACAATGAACAATAATGTATACATGATATAACGACACTGTTTTGACGACCCAGTACTGAAAAACCACAAGTATTTGTGGCCCGTAAATTTCCAATGAAGTAATTTTAATTTGAGACTATAGCAAAATTTCGAAATGCTTGATCAATATAGATAAAAGTAATACGATCTTTAATTATGCAAAACTATATACATTTACATCAATGTGTTATAATTCTCATTGCATTCCTGCATTTTCATGTTACATGTACATTTAAAAATAATACAGATGTGTTGCTGATCACTATATATAAATATGTCTTTATATATATATATATAAATATCTGTAAATAAGGGCTTGGCGATGTCACGTTCCTTCGAAGATGTCACATGTCTGGAAATATTTATCACAAAGTTAATATGACCATTGTATGGTATATTTATAACTTGTGAGGTAAATGGTTAAGATATAACGGCAAATTAGAATCATAATTGTTGTCAAATACGGTATTTAATGAATAAACAGCGTCAATTATGATCGTCATAGTCCGATATGCGATAGCAATGTAACATCCCAAACCATGTGTGTATTATGAACATACACAGAAAGTGAAATCCCGAGTTTAAACCAAGTGATAGTTAACATTTATGAAAGCTAAATATGAAGACATATTTCAGGATCAACAGACGATAACTCCAGAGACATAAACATACCTACTCGATAATATTGCATGCATGTCAAGTTACAATACTGTCCAACTATATGTACATAATCATAAAGGATAGATTGGGGACTTCTAAAGGTTCAGCGAAAGTGATTTTAGTTGGCACTAAAATTAAAGAAGATTTGGGATTAAATTGAACGAGACAGCAACTGAGCAACGCAGAACATCAATATACATATAGAGGGTAACACAAAGTCTTCAAAAGGACAGGTGTCTAAGCAATTTAAGATATACCACAAAGTAAAACTGATTGTGAAGAATCTTAACAGGACTGTTTTATCAAGTAACAAAAAGCATTACATAACCACTGCCAAAGTTACTCACTTTGAAAGGCGCACGAATATGTGCCAGAGTTAAACAAGTCCTCCTTTAATTGTTTGTAGTACACAAAATATTAAAATATTGATTTTATAATAAGGTTAAATTATCAAAAATAACAAGCATTCGGAGAGTATTGCATGGCAGTACATAGTCCCCTACCAGTTAAAAATTAACTGTACTGGAAAAAAATGCTAACTTGACCATAACTCTGCACAAAATCATCAGACCGAAACGAAATTCGAATTTGGTCTGTAACTTGTCATGATGAAACTATAAACCAATTATCAAATCAATATCTTCAAGCATGAGGAAATAAAGTGTGGAAAACTGATTATTTGAGTGAATTTTCTAAGTCCAAGGACCATAACTCTGCACAAAATCATCAGACCAGAACAAAATTCGAACTTGAACTGTAACTTGTCACGATAAAACAATGTACCAATTATTTAATCAATATCTTCAAGCATGACGAAAAAAATGCAGAAAACTGAATATTTGAGCGAATTTTCTAAGTCCAAGGGCCATAACTCTGCACAAAATTATCAGACCGGAACAAAATTCGAACTTGATCTGTAACTTGTCTTGATAAAACAATATACCAAATATAAAATCAATATCTTCAAGCACAAAGAAAAAAAGTGTGGAAAACTGATTTGCCGGACTGACGGATGGACAGACAGACGGACGGAGTACAAACCTAAAGTCCCCTTCGACTTCGCCAGTAGGGGACAAAAATAATGTCAAAACTGGCAGTAAGCGCCTCACAGTGTATATATATATTTAACAGTTTGAAAGTCATTTGGAAATGGACCTTGCATGAAATTAACTCAGTGGTAATGGTACCAACCTCTTGTTAATGCTTTTATAAAAGAATGACATAATTTCATAAGTACTATACTGTAATTTGGTTGCAAGTACGATGTGAGAATATGAATGTTTGCTACTCACGGCTGTCAATCGGTTTATCGAGAGAATTGATCGTGAAAGAATACCTAACGGTGGTCAAGCATTGGGATTGGATCGTGAAAGATCTGGAATCGGATCGTGAATGTAATTAATTGAAATTCTACTTCAAAATCTGTGAAACACTTGTTGGATTTTCAAAACGCGGAACAATTCCGAAAAAAGAAATTATGTCTGTCAAAATGATTCAACTTTCTCAATAGTACTGTGCAATAAGTTAAATAAAATATGCAGTACTTTATGAGAAAACATAAAGGCGTAACACAAGTCTATGGGATTCATTATAAAAAAAACACTGTTTATACCTATAATGACCACATTCCAATATATAATGATATATTTGAAACTGAATCTTTAGTGTGACAGATAATACAGAAAAATAATTTTTTTTTTTACTTGAAACCGTTCATTTTGTTTTTAAAAACACTGAATTTTGTTGATTTATTTATCAAAATTGATCGTGAAAGATCGGGCAACGCATTATCTCGATCATGAAAGACAAGGCGTGACCAGACGGACGCAGGACGTTTGTTCTTTTTTACCTGTAACACTTATGGACATTTGCGCTTTTAACTATGATACACCTGACCAAATTGACAAGACATTTGCGCTTTTTACCTATAACAGTTGTGTACCTGTAATCTTTAGAAAATTTACCAAAGTCATGGAAAGATGTAATTATATTCTTTGAAAGTTCATCAGAACAAACGACAAGTTCAGAAAAAATATTCGGGTAACCCAGACATATTATAAAGAATATAGTATACGTTTCTGGGGGCGCATTAGATTATCGCGCATTTGGGAAGTAATTTCCTTTTACGTTTGCGCCGCAGCCTTTGCTTACATTTGCGAATATTTCAGAGTAAATAGCATTCTGTTTCATTATTTCACCGAATGGAAATTTAATGAATAATTTAATTCAGTTTGTAAAATTACACCAAGACACACACATGAAGTTTCATTTGTCAGAAACAAATCGGGGTGGGGTGGGGTGATTTGTGTACGATGGATTTACTTTCCGTATGGAGAGAACACTTCATTAAGTCAGGGTATATTTCATAGAGATGCATCGTAAATAATTGCAAAGGTATTTCACCGGATTCCAATTTTCTTCTAAACCTTTCGCATCCAGCAGAATCAAAAGCTGTGTGTAAACGTAATGATTTTTGCGCACAAATGTAATGCACCTGTTTCTGGGTAAACGATAGAGAAAACGAAACTTTTGTGGATGGAACATTTAAATTTTGACCGAAATTCTCCAATTAGCTCCCTTATTAGTGGATTAAAATTGGAAGCTATATTCCTCTTGTGGTTACTCTGTTGCACGGATAGACCGAGGAACTATACAATCATAGTTTATCTAAGATTTTTTCAATTTGTGAAGACCGAAATTTTATTTTTTACACCACCTGCTGTACCTTTTGAATTTTATGATATGTTGAGAAAGCGCAAATGCCCATTAAAAAGTGCAAATGTCCTATCAAAAAGCACAAACGTCCCGCGCCGGACCAGACTTAATAATCAGAAAACAATATTTCTTTTACCAATTGATATACTTACAACTAGTTGAAGCGTGTAATTATATTGATAAGAACGGGCATTAATGCTTTCATTTTTTTCACTTTATTTTACAACAATTTTCCTTCAAAGTTATTAAAATAACTAAAACGTGTCTAGATAAGTAGATCTCCAAGATGAAAGGACCTTCAGGAGCGTAAATTTTTGAAAAAGTAAAAGTATATATGTATCTGTATTGCTTAATGCATCCGCCCTGGAAATATATGCATAACTGTCCTTTCCTAGATTTAGATATTTCAGTTTTACATGGGAAACTCCACACTAAAATTTACGATAAAAGGGAAGATTTTTCGTTCCCTATTGTTAATTTTCCTTTTTCGGATGATGATGTTCCTTTGGCACCATCTTACGGTGTTTATATCACAACTCGTTCGCTATGCCCGTGTCTGCTGTGACGTTTTGGATTTTAATGAACGTAATCTATGTTTTACTGGTAACTTATTAAGTCAGGGATTTCGTTACCACAAATTATTTAAAACCTTTACTAAATTCTTCCATAGATATAAAGATTTGGTTTTGAAGTTTGGTTGTACTTGTAGAAAACTTATTTCAAACAGGATAGCACATCCTCATTTTTACGGAGATGTTGTTTACCGTGCCCGGAAATTTAGAAACGATCTTGATAAACTTATCGATCCTTTGAATAAACTTATTCTAAAAGGTTACCAGTTCAACAATGTAATTAGATTTTTGAATATTGTATTTATTGGTATTAATATTGATTTTGCCATTAGTAAATTAACAGGAAATTAAATATTATTGTTATATACATATGCATATTCATGGCTCTACAATCTGTCGATACCTGTATATTGGCATTGCACAAGGTCATGTTTTTTCTCTGACTGTTTATGACGTCTTTACACTAAATCCACTGGATGTTGGATGTGTACTGATTGATAATTTAGTCTTAGATGCATGATTTTTTTTATTAGTTGTTATTGGCTTCGACCTAGCATGCGGTAACTACGAGTACTCTCAGATCTGTACTGAGTCTCTGTGTTTTTGTTAGAGGTATTTCTATTTGTACCGATCTAATGCGTTAAGCCTTTTTCAACTGATTTTTATAGTTTTCTCTTACGTTGTACTGTTACCCCACTGTCTCAGGTTAGGGCAGGGTTTGGCGCCCGCTGA